GGCCACCTCCTCGGGCACCTACCAGCAGGCCGTGGGCACCGTCATCACCCGTGCCAACCAGGCCTATTCAGCCTTCCTGCACTCCGGAGAGGGCACTGGCTTCTGCGGCCAGGTGAGGTGGAATCTGGGGGGAAGCTTGGCTCTGGGGCCCAGCTGTGACCCTGCATGGAGGGTTTAGAGGTTTCACCCTCCTCGTGGATCTGTGGCCTCTGCAGGTGGTGCTGCTGGGGGACTGTGTGGGCGGCATCCTGGGATTTGATGCCCTGTGCCAGAGCCGGGCGGGCTCAGGGGGCAGCCGGAGCAGCAGCCGCCGTGGCAGTCTGGTGAGTGCCTTGCATTCCAGCACCCCCTGGGGAGGGTTTGGGGGTGCACTGGAGGCCACATGGGATCTGGGTGTTTGGTGCCTCTCCCTGCAGAGCACAGAGCCCATCTCCCCGGAACAGTGTGGCAGCCTGGACCCGCTGGCTGATGGGACAGAGGGAGCACCAGTATTGGGCCAGGCCAGCCCTGAGCTCCCAGGGGCACAGGGGGACAGCCAGCAGCACGGCTCCACGAGCAGGTGAGCCCAAGGGGCATGGTTTGCTATATTGTGCTTTATGGGAAGGATGCAATTCCCATCTGCTCCAGGCTGGGAAGGAGCATTTCACGGAGGCTACCTGCCCCGGGGGGATCTTGCTGGAGCTCCTCTGGGATAACAGGGCCACACCAGGCACAGCTTTGCCTTCAGGATGGTGGGAATGCAATGTTGCCATCCCTCCCCATGCCCACTGTCTCTGCTGTCCCAGCCTGCAGGCCAGCGAGGCCCCGCTGGAGGCAGAGGCAGCCCGGAGCAGTGCCATGGCACTGGATGGGGCAGAGGGTGCCAGCACCCGCCTCGAATTTAAGGTATCCGGCTTCTTCCTCTTCGGTTCCCCGCTGGGGCTGGTGCTCGCGCTGCGCAAGACCGTCATGCCTGCTCTGGATGGTGAGGATCCCTGCCTGCCTCGGTGCCAGCCCCTGACCCTCCCTGCAGGGCTCAAGTCCCTGAGTCAGGCTCACCTGACAAGCCTGAGCTCCCCAGGACCACCCCAGAGAGCCCCTAGCATGCCTAGCCCTGGCTGTGGGGGTGTTGGTGGGTGGCTGAGTGTTCCTGCTCTGTGCCAGCCTCAGCCTATCTCTGGTGCCCCAAATTTCCCTGTCCAGCCTTTCCTTTTGCTGTGTCCTGCTTTACTCCTCCTGGGCATTTTGCTCCTGGTGCCCTGACCCCACTCTGTGCTGCAGTGGCCCAGCTGCGTCCTGCCTGTGAGCAGATCTACAACCTCTTCCACGCCGCTGATCCCTGCGCCTCCCGCCTGGAGCCCCTCCTGGCCAAGGCCTTCCATGCTGTGCCCCCACTGAGCGTGCCCCGATACCAGAAGTACCCCCTGGGTGATGGCACCTCGTCCCTGTTGGGTGAGCAGGTTCCCACCAGGCTGGTGCCAGGCACCCTGGGGCCACGTCAGGGTACCAAGAGCACCCACATCCTGGCTGGGTGTGGGTAGAGGGATGTGCAAGCCCTTCCCACTGCTCTGGGGCTCTGCTGGAGGGGTGTCTTGGGGTGGTGGGTGTCCCCAGGGGCTCTGGGTGTGCTCACCCAGCTCTCTCTTCAGCGGAGGCCCTGCAGACGCACTCTGCCCTGTTCCTGCCCAAAGTGGATGTGGCTGCTCCCCCTACCCCCACTGGCAGCTTTGGGGGCTTCTGGAAGGGCAGTGAGCCGGCAGAGCCCCCCACTCCTGCCAGCACCAGCGAGGTTGTCAAGAGTAAGTGTCATCCCCACCCACCCCATCCCATGTGGGCACCTTAGGCTGCACAACAGAGGATGAGGTCTGGAAGAGGCTTCATTCCAGCTCTCCCTGCAGTCCTGGAGCGCTGGTGGGGCCCGAAGCGCATTGACTACTCTCTGTACTGCCCTGACGCCCTGACTGCCTTCCCCACCATCACCCTGCCCCACCTCTTCCACGCCAGCTACTGGGAATCCTCCGACGTGGTGGCCTTCATCCTGCGCCAGGTACGGTGGGCCCAGCGGGGTGGGTGGCAGGATGGGGCCAGCAGAGGCTGAGCTGGTCCCGTGCTGTCGGCAGGTGATGGAGAAAGAGGGGCCACAGCCTGCGGAAAGCGAGGAGAGCTCCATCTACAGCCCCGCCATCCCGCGGGAGAAGTGGCAGCGCAAGCGCACCCAAGTGAAGATCCGGGTACGTGGCCAGTGGGAGGCCACCTGGGGTGTCCTGGGGTGTGTGGGTTCTGGGACAATCCCACAGCCCAGTGGTGTCCCAGTGGCACCTCAGGAGCTCCCCCAGGAGCTGCTGAGCACCCCGTGTGCCTGCAGAACGTGACGGCCAACCACCGTGCCTGCGATGTCATCGTGTGTGAGGGCAAAGCGCAGGTCCTCAGCGGGCGCTTCATGTATGGACCCCTGGATGTGGTGACACTGACTGGGGAGAAGGTATTGCTGGGCTCAGGGGGCCACCAGGACCCCTCAAACAGGGTGGGGTGTCCAGGACCGGGCATGGGGCTGGTGTCACCAACAGTAGGGGAAGGATGTGGGTAACAGGACCCTGTGTGGGATGGTGGGAGAAGGTTGTAAGGACTTGTGTGGGGACACAGCAGGATGTGGGGGTCCTGCCTGTGCTCAGCCCATTTCCCTCTCTCAGGTGGACATCTACATCATGACACAGCCGCTGTCAGGGAAGTGGCTGTACTATGGCACCGAGGTGACAAGTGGCAGCGGGCGTGTGACCTTCACCATCCCTCCAGACAAGGCTCTGGCCATCGGGATCTACCCTGTGCGCATGGTGGTCAGGTGAGGTGTTGCCTCAGTTTCTCCTCCAGCCCTTTTGGCAGAGCTACACTGCTGCTCTGGCAGCAGAGCTGGTGCTGAGCCACCACCTCTGCCTTTGCAGAGGGGACCACAGCTACGCCGAGGCGTACCTGACCGTGGTGGCCCGTGGCACCGAGTCCGTGGTGTTCAGCATCGATGGCTCCTTCACTGCCAGCGTCTCCATCATGGGCAGTGACCCCAAAGTGCGGGCAGGGGCTGTGGACGTTGTAAGGTGGGTGCTCTTCAGTCAGGGAGTCAGTCTCCCCATCTTTCATGGTGTGACAGCTCAGTTGGGGAATGTCATAGCGGGGACAAGAGGGAGAGTATTCCACCACTCCCGTGCCTCCAGCACATCATGTCTATGCTGGTGCCCTATTGTGGAAAGTAATCCTCTCCAAGTTTGGATGTGGTCCCCAGAGCTCTGCTGTGCCTTCTTTTTGATAAAACCCTTGGGAGCAGGGAGGTTTTGGAGGCAGCACCCACACATGGTGTATTGGGAGATCCCAGCTTCCCATATCAGGACTGTCTCCACACAGGCTCCTGGCAGCCACCCATGTCCCCTCCTAGGCACTGGCAGGACTCGGGGTACATGATCATCTACGTGACGGGGCGCCCCGACATGCAGAAGCACCGTGTGGTGGCCTGGCTCTCCCAGCACAACTTCCCCCACGGCGCCGTCTCCTTCTGCGACGGGCTCACCCACGACCCGCTGCGCCAGAAAGCCGCCTTCCTGCAGAGCCTGCGCACCGAGGTGGGCACGGGGATGCTGCCAGGACACAGGGCTGGAGCTGGGGTGGTGTGGCTGTGCTGAATCCTCTGCATCCTGGAAATGCTGGGAGCTGGACTGCATTGCCATGGCAGAGCGGGAAGCTTCTCAGGGCAGCTCCCAGCCATCCCTCTTAACATGAGGGTGTCCAAGCTCTTAGGGGTGGCTGTCTCTGTGGGAAGGGTTGTTCCTTGCCCTAATGCTCTTGTCCCTGGGCAGGCAGAGATCTCCATAGTTGCTGGCTACGGCTCCACCAAGGATGTCTCCGTCTACAGCTCACTGGGACTCACGCCAGCACACATCTACATTGTGGGACGGGCCGTCAAGAAGTTCCACAACCAGTGCCAGGTATGCTGGTGGCAGGGTTGGGGACAGATGGGGGATGCAGGGGATGATGGCTGACCCCACCAGCCGGCCGTGGCCACTGGCTCAGGCTGTCTGTGTGTCCTGCAGTTCCTCTCTGAGGGTTATGTTGCCCACCTGGCCCAGCTGGAAGCCGCAGCCCTGGCTCACTCCCCCAAGGGCCCCCCACGACCTGTGCTGGGCAAAGGCACCTATGGCTGCCCGGCGCCTGTCGACTTCCTGCGGAAGCAGAGCCAGCTCCTGCGCTCCCGGGGCTCCAGCCAGGCAGAGCGGGATGGGGGGCCCCCCTCAGCACCCCCTGGCTTTTCCCGGACCAAGCCCCGCAGCATCAGCCTCAAGCTGGAGGGTGAGGAGTGAGGGTGGCACGGCCATGTCCCCCTTCTGCCACATCCCTGATTTCCCAGCAAGGAGCACCTGGGGACAGAGCTGGTGCTGGGCCATGAGGCCATCGCAAGGAGATGAGGGTGCTGGATCCCCTGATACCAGGGGGTGCTGGGAGAAGACTCAGAGCCCCCCAGAGGACCAGAGTGACCCCCTCAGGGCAGAACCACCCTGGGTCCTCCCTGCTGCCCCCAGCCCCGTCCCCTCTGGTCCTTTGGGGCCGTTGGGCAGTGCCCAGTGGGGTCTGCACCCCAGGGTCATCATCCCTGTGCAGAACTGGGGGCTGTGGCTGTACCCCAGAGTGAGTGGCACCTCCCCACCTATTTATTTCCGTCCAGTGTCATGGCGCAGGGCTGGGTTGGGGTTCCAGAGTGGTTCCTCTGTTCCCCCCTTTTGTTTCGGTGTTGAATAAAGAGATGTTATGACAAGGTGCCAGCACCCATGAGTCTGCTCTGTGCCTGTGGCCACAGGGTTCCCACCCACTGGGAAAGCCCCGGGGAGCCTCCAGGCTGTGGGGCACAGCAGTTGGGTCACAAACAATTTAGGACAGGGAAAAGAGCCTGGGGTGTGTGGGCTGTGCCGGTGCTGACACCCTCCCCCTCTCCAACTTGCTTTCCCCTCATTTTACCTCTAGCAGTAAATTTTTGTAGTGACCAGGGGGTGTGACTGGTTTTACTTGAGTTTATCTTGGCATACCATGATCAGAGATTTATAGAGATAGCAGGAACAAGCTGTTACTCTATATAAAATATTCCCGACACTGACATGACAAGAGGAGACACTGGTTTGGGATGATAGCAGCAGCCTGGATAAGTGACAATGGCGTGGCACAGAGAACAGGCATGAACGGGTTGGAGCTGGGGCCGAGGCTCAGTGCCGCCCCTCCATGGCCACCATAAAGTATAAAAACATCAAATAAGTGATAAAAGTTGGCAGGCAGCAGCAGGCTCTTGTCACCTACGCATCCCTGGCGTGACGATGAGCCCTGGCTGTGTCCCCAGGCCGTGGCGAGCTCCGGGGCCATTTCCACTGACTTCAAATAAGTAAAATCTGTATTAAACATTAATAAACATCCATGACCATTCCACATGTGGAATATCTAAAAAAACCTGTCCCGAGAGCACTGGGCTCTCCCTTGCAGCCACGGACTCTACTGGGAGAAGATGCCCTTGAAGCGGATCTTGTCCTCGGCGTCCTTCTCCCGCAGCCGCGCTTCCAGGCTCCGCAGCTCCTTGGAGACCACGGGGCGCAGCGAGGGGTCGAGCGCCAGGACCTTGGCGAAGTCAGCCTGCGCCTCGGCCACGTTCCACACGGCCGCGTGGGCCTTGCCCCGCTTGAAGTAGGCCTTGACGTTGTCTGTGGGGAGAGAGCCAGGGTCAGCGGAGCGTGGGGGGTCCTGCTGGCCTGCACAGCCACCTGGGATGGCTCGTGGCTCCTTACCCTCGTACTTGTTGAGGATGGAGGAGCAGTGGTCCAGCACCTCGTAGTACTCCTCACACTGCAGCTTGCACTGGCAGTAGTTTAAGAGCAGGGGTGTGATCTTCTGGTCGAGCTCGATCCAGTCGGGAGAGCCTGGCTGCTCCTGTGGCAGACAGAGCAGGGAGAGTGAGGGGCAGCTCTCAAGCCCTGCATTCCCAAGGATGCATGTGTGGATCTGGGGAGACTCACCTTCATCTGCAGGTTCTTGAGACAGGCGATGGCATCGTAGTATTTGGCAGCTGCCTCAGGCACCTTGCCCTGCCGGTACAGCTCGTTGCCTTCCTTGTGGATCTGGGGCACAGCCTGGAGCTTCTCCTCATCTGTCATGGCCCATGGGTCCTGCTGGTAGGAGCCGGGTGGCTCCACCTGCCAGCACCCCATCATGGAATCAGAGAACAGGATCACGGAATCGTTTAGGCTGGAGAAGACCTCCAGAGCCATCGAGTCCTGCACTGCCAGGGCCACTACTAAACCACATCCCACATGCCTCATCTCTGTGTTTCCTGGACACTTCCACCCCGAGCTCCCCGCGCCGGCACCTCACCTTCAGCACCTCGATGTCAAAGATGAGGGGCTGGGGGTTCTTCTGGAGCTCGTCGAGGTCGGGGTACCCCAGGGAGTAGTGCTCGTGCATCTGGGCGATGCTGCAGCAGTGCCGCTGCCCCTCCAGCGGGTCCTTCCCTGCTGCGATGTTCCGCAGGCTCTTGGACACTAGCGGGTAAAGCACCACGTGCTGCGGGAGGGAAGGGAGCCGGAATTTCAGGAGAGTGGGGGTAAAATTTTAGGATGCTCCGGCCTCGAACCCCGAGGCCACTGACATAAAGTCACCGCCCACCCGCACAGGCCACGCCCCCGGCCACAGGCCACGCCCCCGGCCGGCCCCGGTCCCGCCCACCTTGGCGTCGCAGCGGAAGCGCGCGCGCTCGCCGGGCCTCATGGTTCGCAGCGCCGCTTCCCACACGGGCAGCTTGAACTTCTTCCCGGCGATGAGCTCCATGGGCTTCCCCCGCGCCCTGCTGTCGTCCACCGGCGTCTCCTCATCGTCGCACCGCAGCGTCCGGTAGTGGAAAGTGGCCTGAAGGAGCAGGAGGAGCCCACGGCGTCACCATGGCGACGCAGGCGGGGGAGGAGGGTGGGGAGGACGCGCATGCGCGCCTGCCCGGCCGCGTTCCGCTTCCCACATCCCCCCACCCCGCCCGTGCTCCGCAGAGCTGACCTTGGTGCCGTCGCGGAAGTCTGGCAGCGGCCCGGTGCCCTCCCGCAGCACCTCCTTGTCCACGCCGTCCGCCCGCAGCTGCTCGACTTGCTGCGCCATCGCGCCCGCTCCGCCCGCGCCGCCAGCCCTGGCTCGGCCGCCTCCGCCGCCGCTCGGTTCTTTCCGGATAGCCGCGGCTGCGCGGGGCTCCCCCTGCTGGCCCGGGGGTGGCGCGGCGGGGCGGGGGCCCCGGGAATGGGGCGTGGTCAGATGGAAGGGGCGTGGCCAGCGGAGGCAGCCGCGCGGCCGGTGCCCGCCTGGTTCTCCCGGTTTCCCGTCTCCCCCCGCCTTCCCGGGGTGTCATTCCCGGAGACACGGGAGGCGTTCCGGAGTGAAACCTCCTCTGACGCTTTGCCACCTACACGGAAAGGGCGCGGTGTACAATGGGAGGTTGATAATGTCGCCGAGGGCCACTGTGAGGGTTCCCGCCCACCTCGGGGAGAGCGTGGCCGGGTGGTCTCCTCCCGCCAGCCCCGGCTGGGTCTCCGTGCGGGCAGGAAGGACAGGCAGCCGCAGCAGGGCTGTGCGACACCCCTGGGGGACACCTCAGGGCTTAACGGGGTTTAGCGCAGCTCACAAGACATGCTGGGGTGACACGAGGACGCTGGCAGGCGGCAGTCCCCAGTCCCACAGAAGGGCTGGTGACCCGGGGGGGTGACTGCACTGCTGCGGCAGGGAGCCCGTAGGGAGCGCGCCGTTCTGCTGGCACTGTCACTGCTCAGCACTACTGGGGGTGGCTCAGGCCCATGGTCGCCCTCACACACAGCCGAGAACTCGAGAGAGCTCCTGCTCCCCCCTCTTGCACCCCTTCTTTTTCGGTGCTGCTTGATACAAGATTACGCAGGTGCGTCCCCACAAACGCAGCTGGGCTCAGTGCCCCCCCAGGTTGTGGTTTCACCGCGGGCACGGCTGGCACGGAGCCGCGGCGTTGGCGGCGGCAGCGCAGGTGCCGGGAGGCGCGTGCGGTCGCCGGCGAGGCCGGGAGCCGGCGGGCGGTGACCGCCTCCTTCCTGCGGGCTTTGGGCTCTGCAGGTGGCAGACCACGAGGTGGGCCCGCGTACGCTCTCGCTCGGATGTGGGCTGCAGCCCGCGATGCCCGTCGGGTGCCTCTTGGCAGGCGGCGGCAGCGGCGTTGGAGGCCCGGGGGGTGCAGGAAGGGCCCCCGCAGGGCAGGTGCCGTGGGGGGGCTGTCTCCCCCCGGTTGCATCCGGGTGCCAGCCCACTGCGGCGAGGCGTGTGACGGCAGAAGCGCGGGCGAGGCTCATATTTGGGCACGGAGCAGGGTATTGGAGGCCGCGGCCCCGCGGCCGGGAGATGAGGCGCCTGATAAAGGCCGCTGCCCCGGGGCTGCTGCGCGCAGGGGCTCGGGCGCTGGCGAGAGGCAGCCCGGCTGCGCGGGCTCGGGGCCGGCGGCCATGGGGCCGCTGCTGGCACTGGGGCTGCTCGTGTGCGTGCGGCTGTGTGCGGGTGAGTGTCGGGCGGGCGGCAGCGGGGCCCGGGCGGCGGCGGGCCCGGCTCAGCAGCCTCCGTGCCGCAGGCTCCGGGCAGCTGCGGCTGGTGGGCGGCGGCGGGCGCTGTGCCGGGCGCCTGGAGATGGAACACGGCGGGAAGTGGGGCTCCGTGTGCGCCTTCGACTTCGACGGGGAAGCTCGCTGGGCCGCCGTGGTGTGCCGGCAGCTGGGCTGCGGCCGGGCGGCCAGGGCGTCCCTGCACGCCCCGTTGGGGCAGGGCAGCGGGCGGATCTGGCTGCAGCCCTTCTGCAACGGCACCGAGGATGAGCTGAAGAACTGTTCACGCTTCACATGGGGACAGCATTCCTGCGGCCACGAGTGGGATGTGGGGGTGACCTGCACAGGTGAGGGGACCCGCTGGCCGTGCTGGGACAGCCCCCTGGTGCTGGAGCATGCCGGGCCGGGCTGAGCCGTGCCGGTGCCCTGTGCAGATGCCGTGGAGCTGAGGCTGGCGGGCGGCGGCGGTCCCTGTGCCGGGAGGGTGGAGGTGAAGCTGCAGGGACACTGGGGCTCGGTGGCAGACGACAGCTGGGACATGGAGGACGCCGAGGTGGTTTGCCAGCAGCTGGGCTGTGGCTCGGCTTCTGGTGCCTACTTTGCCCTTGACCGCTTTGGTGTCAGAGTTGGTCCCATCAGTCTTGTCCTAGTGGACTGCAGTGGGGACGAAGCCACACTCTGGGACTGCAAGATCCGTGGCTGGGGACCCTATAACATCAGCATCCCTTACAGGGACACTGCCGTTGTCTGCCAAGGTAGGAGCTGGGCTTGAGGGGAGTGAGGCTGTTCACGCACATCCCTTGACACCGTCCCTGCACTGCTCCCACAGGCTTTTCCCAGCTGGTCGGAGGCGATGGAGCCTGTGCCGGGCGGCTGGAGGTGCGTCAGGGCCGGGCGTGGGTCGGTGTCTGTGCGGATCAGGTGGACATGAAGGTGGCGCAGGTGGTGTGCAGGGAGCTGGGCTGCGGCGAGGTGATCGGCATCGCCGGCAGTGGCCGTTTTGGGGCGGTGTCGGGATCGCTGTGGGACGGGGGCTTCCAGTGCCATGGCACCGAGCCCCTGCTCAGTGCCTGTGCCCGGCGTCCGCGCCACGACGAGGCCTGCCCCGGCCCTGGCAGCGTCATCTGCTCGTGTAAGTGCCGGGGACACCGGGGGGTGTTGGGGTCCCTGCGGCATCAGTGCTCTGACGGCCGCTCCCGTCACAGCCTACACGGGCTTCCGAGTGGCGAACGGCAGCTCGGGCTGCTCCGGGCGAGTGGAGGTGGCGGTGAGGGGCACGTGGGGCTCCGTGTGCGCCAGCGAGTGGGAGCTGCCCGATGCGCACGTCCTGTGCCGGCAGCTGGGCTGCGGCCGCGCCCTCAGCGTGGCCCCGGGAGGCTCCTTCGGCAGCGGGGAGGGGCCGCTGCGGCCGGACGCCTTCGGCTGCAGCGGGAGCGAGCGGCACCCGGGCGAGTGCCCCGTGGCCGTGCTGGGGAAGCCGCCCTGTGCCCCCAGAAACGCCGCTGCTGTCAACTGCTCAGGTGGGTATGGGGACCTGTGTGAGGAGCCTGAAAGGATTTTCGGACCCTGCTAAGAATTAATACGACAACATGCAGGGTTATTTTGGGATGAAGCGCTGAGTGGGGCCATTTTACAGGCACTGCTGAGTCCCTGCGGCTGGTGGAGGGTGAGACCCGCTGCGATGGGTTTGTGGAGGTGGCCACAAGCACCGGGGACTGGCGCCGTGTGCCAGGAGAGGTTTCGCTCCTACGGAATTTGAGCAATGTGTGCTTGGAGCTGGGCTGTGGAGGACTGGAGAAGAGTGGTGCTGTAAATGGTAACGTGTCCATGTGGGACCTCAACAACTCAGAGTGGGCCGTAATGGAAGAGGTCATCAAAACAATCAAGGGGATGACAAGTGATCTGACCACTAGGAGCATACATAAGAATTATTTTGGGAGTACTTACAGGTCCATGAAGACTGCACCAGCTGGCATCTCTCATGGTGTGAATATTATCTGCTCAGGTGGGTGTCCCGGGAAGGACCGGTGAAGTGCCGGTGCCTCAGGCAGCCAGCCCAGCCCATTCCCTCTGTGCCCACAGGCAGCCTGCAGGTGAGGCTGGTGGGGAGCTCTGGGCGCTGTGCCGGGCGTGTGGAGGTCTATTCCGGTGGCGGCTGGAGCTGGGTGTGCCAGGAAGGCTGGGAGCTGCAGGACGCGGCCGTTGTGTGCCGGGAGCTGGGCTGTGGCACGGCCCTGGAGGCCCCGAGCTGGGCGCGGTTCGGGGCCGGCACGGGGCCGCTGTGGCCGTACATCCCCGAGTGCTCCGGGTCCGAGGAGTCTCTGTGGCGATGCGGGCGCACGGAACGGCGCGAGTGCGGGCGCGGCGGCGGGGCAGGGGCCGTCTGCTCAGGTCAGTGCCGGGCAGCCGCAGGTCAGGGCCCGGCAGAGCCCCCGGGGGGTTCCTGGCCGTGCCGTGACCCCCCTGCCCCCCTTGCAGAGCATCTCTCCGTGCGGCTGGCAGGAGGCCCTGGGAGCTGCCGGGGCTTCCTGGAGCTGTTCCACAACGGCACCTGGGGCCGCGTGTGCGCCAACGGCACCTTGGCGCCGTGTGCCAGGAGAGGTTTCGCTTGTACAGAATTTGAGCAATGTGTGCTGGGAGCTGGGCTGTGGACGACTAGAGAAGAGTGGTGCTGTAGATGGCTCAGCCTACCTGAGGACACTCAGTAGCACAGACAAAGACATCATGCAAAATGTGATCAAAACCATCAAGGATATGACCACCAAGCTGTCTGACGGGCTGCCGGAGTACCTTCTTAATGATGACTGGATGGAAGACTGGATGACCACTGCCCCAGCTGATATCCCGTATGGGGCGGCCATCGTCTGCTCAGGTGGGTGTCCCGGGA